GATTGGGTCTAATTTTCTGCTGTTGTGGTATAGTGAGGGGAAATACAAAATTAACAGTCATAATACAGCTTAAGATTATGTCCACACTTGTGCGTCGGTGGCACAGTGGTTAGGACTCTCGCCGACCATGCACATGGTCCGGGGTTCGAACCCCTGCCGGCGCACACCCGATATCTATGGTATGCCTGAATTTGGGCAACCGATATCCATGCTGAAAGTTCCACACTTGTACTGAAAATACGGTGTGGAAATCAAGCTGTAAATAAAAAAAAAAACAAAACGAAAAAATTGAGAGGATTATAAATATAAGAAATACAATAACAATAAAGAATGATGCTTTAAGGGTAAAGGAAATGGTTTATTTAGTAGTGCATAGGAGGTTAGTTAGTTCATGTCCGACACCCGAAATTTCAAGCCCATAATGTGAATCCAACCGTTGTGTCTTTTCCATAGCCATCACAAGAGGTCAATTCTCCCAACAGTAATAGTCCCACTACTCCCCTTATCCAATCTTCCCTTCTATTTCTGTTATTTTTCACTCTTCAATCAGAATTTGCACCACTATATTCTTTGTCCGAACTTCCTGTCTACTTTTTACTACATGTTTAAACCCAATAGTACGAAAGAGCAAATTTCAACAGTAATTATGATACTACGATGTTTTTACCTTCCCGCTTATTACTACGTTTTAACCCTTATTTGTACTTTTAATATTTTGACTCTTGAGTGAAAATAGCTTTAGAACTCTCTCATCCATCCACTACAAATATATGAATGTACAGCCTAGACGATGACTTCGTCGAAAGGGGGATTGTCTTCTCTGTGACCATCTTTTTAGCACTCTAGTAACAAAATGGAGTTAAGTACTCATTCATACTCATTCGCGCAGTAAGACGAATCTGCCTTGCTGTGGACAATATTAGTCAGCAAGGAGTACAGTTTACTTCTAATGTTACTTGCGATGAAAATGCTGGGAAAACTATACAAATATATATCACTTATTTTGAATCAATACCCAATTTGGATATAAATCAAGATTAAGATTCTCTGCCGTTCACGGCAGAGTTAGATGGGGAAGTGACTCCAAGCTTCATTTCTTTCCCAAGTATTCGTAATCCATCCAACACCTACTTGTTTTTTGCTAGTGCGAAGGTTATATCTTTTTTTCTCAATGTGCTCCGTTGAATGGCTAGATAAAAGATTATTCCCACAAACCATAGCCAAAAAGGCGTCGGTGGCATAGCGGCTAGGACGCTCGCCGACCATGCACATGGCCCGGGGTTCGATCCCCGGTCGACGCACTCCTTTACCTCGCTAAGCCAGAAATAATGCTGTAAAATAAGCACTGCTACAGAAACTTCAAGCCACTAGCTTGAAGCCCAATGTTCCACTGGGGAACGTGAAGGAAAAAAATAGCCAAAAAGGGACAGCACCATGTAAATTCACCATAAACCAAATTTACGTAATTTAAATAATACTTATCCATGCTTGTACAACTGGTTTATTCCTACATAGATAGGAATAAATATATTATTATGAATAATACAGGGAATTATTTACTATCCTTCCTTGATTTTTATGCACAATGAAATTAACAGTACCTAAATTGTCCTGGAGACAGTGTCAAACAATTTTGCAACGACGATTAATGTTTAAGCGCACCCAATGGTCACGGTATTCAGAATCTGTTAAGACGAGAAAGCATAGTTGGCCGCCTAGTAATCATGAAGTTTCCAGATCAGCCGGCGTTTTGTGTCAGTAGCATATACAACATTAATAGTGATTACACCAGTGAATCTAGACGACATATTTGAGTATAAATGTTTGGGTGACTTTACAAAACAGTAGCGATTCTTAAGCAGCAACTATAATCGGACATTTCCGATTCACAAGTAAGCAGGATTCACATTTATGTTATACTATTATGATAGACTTAGGTGAGATAGTATAAGGGAGCTGTATAACAGCTTGCCAAAGTTAGCAATGAAATGTTTTTGGCAATGGATTTGAAGTAATTCAAACAATTCACGAGTTTGTTTCGTCATTTTGTTATTTGAAAGACAATGTTAACAGATATAAGATGCCTCATAACTTCAGAAATTTTAACAAAAGTTTAGTGAGCAGTAAGTGTTTCCTGAGAGAGGAATTTCCCTCTTAATACTGGTAGGTTTTTCTTAATCAGATAATTTGGCATTCAATCAGAGTATTATTGGGAGATACGTGATACCACTCCGTGCTTGAAGAAGACTGACTGCTTCTGTGTTTGATTCTGCTGTGGTCAGTAAAATATTTGTTCCACTGGTTTCACTGATTTCTTCCTGTGGCAGTACCAACGAAACAGGAAAAACATTGTTCGGATATCTAATATTTAACTCCCCCTCTGCTGCGTCAGCGGTCCAGCGCTAACATGCCAGCCAACTATACGTGTGTTATGTGGCTCGATCCCCGGCCAGTGCGATTCCAAACCCTTCTAGCAAGTGCGAAGCCCGGAATAAAAGAAGGGTCGTGTATGGGACAGGCGACGCTACCCTGTCAATAAGTATGACACTGACGCTACGTTGAAGCCCCAAGTTACGCTTGGAATGCAAAGGAATATGTCGTATCATAGTGTGCATAGCGGGATGTGTTAGTTATTTCACACCGTATCGTAGCTTAGCTGTATTCAGTGGTCCATTTCTAATCTTACAGTATGAGCAATGCGAAATGTTCATGGGCGACTGACTGAATCTGTTAACGAACAAGTTTCGGCTGAAGACGGAACATGGTTCGAAGTTTCCTTTGACGTTTGCTCAACGGCACCACCAAGACCTCCAGGTTCAGTCCAGTGTTCGAAAACGAATGATGACAATGATATTAAAGCGTTAAGTCCAAGAATATTGGTGCAAAACTTAGAATTCCAAAGCCTATGGATAAAATTGCGAAAATTAGAAGACCAAGAAAAGTGCCAAGATACTTCACCGTTTTCGGATATGAAAAGCTCACAATTGCCCCTAATCTCCTAACAACTGGGGGAGCAGATTTGCGGCCACTGATGAGACCTAACTGTTTGAGTTAACCTAATTCTATTTACCAGTTGTCAATCTTTTTGGTTAATCCTTGTCGAGGGCGAATTCCAAATGTCGGGAATGAGTTTCCGTATCTATACTTGCGATGAAGCAATGTGTCTACAAATTAAGGACCATGGAACACATTGTTCACCAAGCTTTAGACATATTATCCCTCGTCGTGAAGGCCCTCTTAGGAATTAAAACAGTAGGAAGCAATGTATGGCCTCTACAACTAGTTATTATAACAATATTTTATATATTTTATTATTTAGCCACTGAGATGTTGCAAGGGACTAAGGAACTCAGGACCGAGCAATTAGGTAGGATCTATATCTTCTGTATAATTTGCAAGGCTTTCCTTATCTACCGAATGCTAAATGCCCTTCCGTTTAATTGAAAAGCTGTTAAAATTAAGGAACTAAAGGTTCATAAACACCACAAGTTTTCTACAATATTACAGGTGGTCAGTTGTTATTTTGGGTAATCGTTTTGATAGAAAAGGCTGTTTCTAAAGGAGTAATGGTAGTTTTCCAGTGCCATCAGAATTTTGATCGTTAGCTTTAAGCGGGTTTACATTCGAAAGTATATTTGAGGCAAATCGTTCTGTGAAGTCAGGTATATTAGACAGTAGGTACGGACCCGCGGTAATTTTGGCGTTAAGTTGTCACTAAACACTGTTGGGTTGCCAACCATTTCTATTTTATTTGGTAGTGTAGGGGATCAAAGAAGTTCATCAACTCAATTGAGCCTCATCAGTTTCACCATCAACGATCAATTCGTTTTCCGTGCCGTTCGGAACGCATGGTGAAGAATAGAATTTTAAAAGAACAGTGGCTCGGCAGCTTCATTTAGGTGTGATTATCTGATTGTTCACTCTCTCCAAATCATTGTCAACAAATAAATATTTTGGAAGCCGTAAATGTTATTTTCTACCTTCTGTAGTTGGTGCGGTGTCAAGGGAATCTGGCCACCATGCTAGGTGGGCCACGCCAGAAAATCAGCAGGTAATGTGGTTAGGGCCTAGGGCTAGCGGGATTGATAGCGACACTTGAATCTTTATCGCTATGTCTAACCGAAACCAAATGGAAACAAGTTCAAACTGTTTCCAGCATCCTAAACAATTTGTTTCCTCGAAGGTTATCCATTCCGTAAGCACCAAGAATACTACGGTTGAGAACCAGATTACATCCCAGTATACAGGATATCAATTCAAACGAGATATGTCCACAGTCCAATGAAGCAAACATAACTTAATCAAGGCAAAACGCAAAATGATAAATAAGGTACAACTTTAGTGTTCAAAGGTGAAATATGACACGTTGGAAATATCAGGCGTAACGCCTCCTATCACTGAAACTGCGTCGGACGATAACAGTTAAGTGTCAACCAACACTGAATCGTGATTCCATCCCTAATATTCACTTCAGTGGATAGAATAAGCTGATGAATATTTGAGATTCCCTGAAGCACAGGGTAATGATTAGACATTTACCGACAGACTTTGTGGCAAAGCCTGAGTAAAGCTTTCAGTCTGTTATAAACTTCATGACCCGCCTTTTACACAAGTTAAATGTGATATGTGCTCAGTGAGCTACATTTTCCATCTGAGAGTATTCAAGTAAACTGAGGTATCATACACTGGGCTTGACTAGAATTTACTTATCATGTACTCAAAAGTCAGAGTGACTTGCGACGGTTCTGCACTAAAAGGAATCATAACCACGGAGTTTTTGAGCGAATTGCCACTTACATCCAACGAGGCTGTATTGGTGGCTTCATTATCACGCATTGTAGAAATTAACTCCTGAGATAGCGTTAGAATGTATACTTATAATAATTTTAAAAGCAAAGTCACTTATAAGGTGATTATTTATGATAAATTAAACTTTGGGAGATTGACTGGATTTCTTCATTGATGGCAGAAGAATGAGACCATTAGTTAAGTCACGGTGCCTTAAGGGTCACCAACTCTTCAAGGTCATATCTGAGTACGGACTTAATTTTTATGGCGGACGAGGTTTTTTATGGTGAATTAGCCATTTTAGGGTGAGTAGTTTGCTTAAATCTGCTAATTTTTCCAACCGTATTAATCTTGTGCGGCTGTCACCTTGCTTTCTCGATAAACTAGTGAAATCTGCAAAATCAAGTAGGTTATCACAAAAAATTGTAGAATAGTGCATCATTTCCTGAGAGGTGTGTACGTACATAACATAGTGTTGCTTCTCTTGACGTTAGTGTACAAATGCACTTGCTCACATGTGAATTATAACAGATATGAAACAGCGTAAAACTACTCAAGTAATAAGATTTGGGGCGAAATTTAGGGGTTTATCGGTTGTTTTTTTGGAAAGGGGGGTAGGTGATGCCTTTCTCGAAAATTTTTTGCGAAATTTCACATTGATTTGCCCCGAAACTGTCCAAAATTTTTGATGTGGCTAACATTTAGTCATTTAAAGTCACATCTCTCATATAAACTTGTGAACGAAAATATGCTTTCTAAGTTTTGGTTTCGTACGCTGGTGTGCTTAAAAAATAAAGGAATTATTCTCACTTTCATCTGACCATACGCGTAAATATTTGTGATAACAACTCTGCATATATGCAACTACTGTTTCTCCACTAACCTCGACAGGTAAACCTGTGTGGCTGCTGCTGCTGGATTCAACATAGAACTTGGCACCGAAGTGCAGCAGTTCGAGTTGCCACGTTCCAAAGGTAGACAGGAAAATGAGAGAAGAGAATCAATAGAATTTAGATGAGTATAAGAGTGAAACAGAATGAGTAATGGTAGAAAGGAATATGAAGGTTAAAGAGACTGAATACATCTGCGCCATTGACAACGATTTTGAGCCATGTCACCTATTGTCTCCAGCCATTGATTCTTAGAGTCCCGAGGGCCCCAACCCGGAAGTCTGCATCTCCCTACCTGACTCAGTTTAACTGTCAGGGATTTCATGGATTGATGCCATGTTTTTGTTTGGCCACCACTTACTCTTTTCCAACCTGCACCTATATCAGCTAGTAATGCCCGTCGGGGGAGACGATGGTTAGGCATGCGCAGCACGTGACCTAACCATCTCAATCTATGTAACTTCATAGCCATTGTTTGCAGATTGATTTTTGTTAGACCTAGGTGCTGGTATTCTGTGGTATCGTGTAAAAAAGCAGAGTTATATTTAAGAAATGTGAATGTTATTCTTATCGTCTGTGAAAGTAGGTCAAATGCGGAAGATTTATGGGTAAAATTCGACCCGTGCCATCCGAATCTTAACTTCACTATGGAACACAAAGAAAATGATATCACTGATTTCTTAGGTGTTTCTCTATTAAAAAGAATTGATGGTGCAGCAGAGAGATCCGCATTTAGAAAGTTTTCATGGATGGGACAGTGAATACATTTTAAAACCTTTGTTCCCATAAATGATAAAGCAACTTAGAACATTGTTCCTTTGTCGTGACAGTACAATCGGATTTGAAATGAAATGTTAGAACGGATATCCGGAAATGTTTGTCAACAAATATTCTGAAGGAATAATACCCAGTAAAACTATCCAAACCACTTCAACGGAAGCTGTACATAATTATTCACCACATAAAGGCGATGACGTAGAAGTGGCTAGATGAAGACTGGATAAGTCTATCACTAGGAGTTATTATGCAGTTAAGTTCTTGTTGCTTAACACCATTGAGTGGGCGCTTTAACAATCTGGAAAGACTGAGGTTGTAGAAGTAAACACATAGGTCGTACGAAAGCGTGATTGTCTACTCGCATGATGGAGCACTTCCCTAAGTGGTTGAAAAAAACTGAGGTTAGAGCATTAAAAGGTTCAATAACAAAGCATCTTGTAAACCACAGATGTCATATTCATGCTGTCAGGTCATTCAGTGTTGTCAACTGAAAAACAAACAGCAAAATGTTTCATTTGCGGAGGCTTATGTAGTGTGTGTAAACGCGGTCTTTGTGTACAGAAAGAAATGGTGGTCACTCTGAATGTACCGCAGTAATTTGTCTTACTTCCTAAGCGTTATTAATACTAACGTTTTGTTGGATTTTTTATTATAATCCTTGATTCATTTGAAAATGTTCTTTGTCAGCACCATTATCTTGATTGGTTTAATATCGTAATTTGTATTACCATTATTATCATTATTATCCAGTTTGCAATTCTTCGTGTATTCAAGTTCTATCTCGGATAACTAATTGTTTAAACTATGTAACAGGAAAGTAATGTATTATTGTCTGAATTTTAATGTCATATCCCCTTCCCTGTTATCTATCTGAACACGACCCAAAAAACACACTTGTCATTTTGCATGATTGATTCAATGTGTTCTTTTTACGCATCACTAATATAGCTCAGTGTATTTCTAACAGCATATATATCTCTGTGTAGAGTATTCAGCTGGTTATGCTGGAATTTGGACCCATTAAATCCTGCTTTATTAACATGTATTACTTGTTTCAAAAGTCTTATCGCCCAATAAGGAGCACCTCTGAGTAAGAAAACTTTACAGGGCTTGCCGGTGGTTCAAGGATACACTGCTGCCCCATATCCCTTTACAGGAGCATGATTGCCGTTGGACTACTATTATAGCGTTAACAACTACTGCAGTAACTGGCTTTAAATTTATCATAATCTAACCAAACTTTCTGGCAAGTTAAAACCTCGGAATCATTCGTACCAGCCAGCGTGGCTCTTATGTTTATTGTGATATCCATGGTAGCAGCTTTCATACCAGATATGAATTTACCTTAAAATAAAACCTTTCTAACGAATGAATAAAATTTCTAGGCATATATCTAATGAAGCATATGTGTGAATGTGACACTTATTCTGTTTTGATTTAGTTTGGTGTAATATTCGGACTTCCCATGATTCACACGAATCTTAATGGAATAATAATATTCAGACTGTTGTTGTAACAGTAAAGATTAGTAACGGTGACGAATTTCTACAACCTAATGCATTTAGGCTCATTTCAGCTAGCTGTTGCAGAGAACCAATAAAACTTACAAATAAGTCTTCGTGACAGATGGTTTTAGATGTTGATTTGATATAACTATATCAAACAGAAACAAATTAAAAAACACAACCATATTGAATGTTTTTGAAAGTTCTAAAACTTCTTCCAAGCCATAAGTTTTTATTTTCATTTTTAGGTATTTGGTGTAATTTACTTGAGTGTTCTATTTTTAGGCTCAATGGTGCTTTAGCGGACTCTGGAAATATCTCTCGACATAAATCTAAGATTTCTCTGTTCAGACGCCCGAAAGCTAATGGAGTTCGACCTGGACCCGTAAACAAAGTTCCCAAAGCTAAAAATTCAGTCGTAAGTCTACAAAAGTATATTTGTTTAACCGCACAAATTATTCAGTCACTACTAAACTGGATAATGTACTCTAGGTGAATTCCGCTTTTTCTGAGAGGAACTTCATTTTCAAATTTTTTCACGGCTCAGTCACCTTTAGTGGTGCATGTTATGCCTTCTTTTGAGAACGCCTAATTTAGCACCCACTGTTGGATGCGGATGGGTACGTACAACCAATATCGGGCGTGAATTACATCTACAAATGATTCAGCGAAGAGACTCTTTTCAACGAATTTATCATCAAGCTGTACAATCGTATATATATGGTTTTTAAGAAGTTATATCCGGTGAGGGAATTGAAACATAGGCGTGAATGCATGAAATAATAATAATAATAATATGAAGTGCAATTAAAACTAAAATGTTTGTGATTACAATCGTAGTTAAATGTCAAGTGGCAAAGCAAATTAATGTCATATATAGAATAATCCATAGGATGGATAGAACTTGAAAAAAGATGTGCAATTATAAGATTAGTAGACAAATCGAAAAAATAAAAACGTTACGTAATATTGTGTGAAATTTAATAGCATAGAATTGAATGTTGCATAAAGGAATTGATTTAGAATGACAAGTGGAACAAGTGAAATAATACCGGGGACAATTAAAAGTGAGAGTAGTAATAGTAACAATTGACTTAATATGGAAGAGTATACAAATTGAATAGACAAAAATGGAAAAAATGGAGAGTTGGTAGAGCTAAAATATAATTGGGGATTACCATACTTTAGCATAGAGGGATTAAGACCATGAAAGTTGGAGGGGTTGAACGAACTTTTTCTGTACACAGAGATCTGGCTTTTCTGTTTCCATAGCCAAAGCTTCAGCAATACAGATGAGTCGGATACGTAGGGATTTGGGTAGATTACTCTTTGCCTTGTAGATGACTTTGAAGGCGGAGGCTATAGAGATAGGGTGATCATTATCGACCAGATGTTCAATGATCGCGCTTCTTATTGCTCCACTACCACCTTTTCGTAACCATGCAGGATAGTGTTCTTGCACCCTCTTGGACAAAACTCGTGTCGAACGACCGATATACCTAGCTCCACACGAGCAGGTGAATTGATAAACACACATAGAGTTGGTCAACAGCGGGATCTTGTCCTTCAGCTTATTGAACAATAATGGTCGACTAGAAAAGGCTATTCTCAGGGATGCAGCAGGGAATGTTCTTTTCAGGGATTGTGATATCCTCCGTTTCATGATATCGGAAGCTAAGTCCCCTTTGAATTCCAAGCTCATGTAAAGTATCTTCTTGGGTACGGTTGATAACTCACGTTTTTTAGGATTTGAATGAATATTCTTATCTATAAAACGTGGTGGAAATCCATTTTCTATTAGGATTTTCCTCAAGATGTATAACTCATCTTCCACAGTATCAGGGCTACATATGCGCCGAATACGAGTGGTAAGCGACCGGATCAGGTTTCGTTTTCGACCAATGGGTACCCAGCTGTAGAAATTTGTCAGTTGACCATTCCATGACAGCTTGCGATAAATCGATCTTTTCAGGGTTCCATCGGTCCTTCTTGATAAGTTCACATCGAGGAAATGCATGCTAGACTCGTTCTCCATTTCGAGTGTGAATTTTATCGCCGGATGGCAACCATTAAATACATCTAATATATTATTTAAGTTACAATCACTATTACAAATAATAAAGGTGTCATCTACATACCTTTTATACATTTGAAAACTTTGGATTATAGGCTTCAGCTGATTATTTTCTAGACTGGACATAAAACAGTCTGCAAGGAGAGGACCCAAGGGAGAATCCATTGCAATACCATCCTTCTGTCTGTAGATTGCTTCATTGAAAGTAAACTGTACATTCAATGTACATCTCAGAAGTAGTTCTTTCAGATCTGTAGTGGGTATACCTATATTCAATTTGTTGTCTTCTATATATTTGCATATAAAAGATATAGAAGACAACAAATTGAATATAGGTATACCCACTACAGATCTGAAAGAACTACTTCTGAGATGTACATTGAATGTACAGTTTACTTTCAATGAAGCAATCTACAGACAGAAGGATGGTATTGCAATGGATTCTCCCTTGGGTCCTCTCCTTGCAGACTGTTTTATGTCCAGTCTAGAAAATAATCAGCTGAAGCCTATAATCCAAAGTTTTCAAATGTATAAAAGGTATGTAGATGACACCTTTATTATTTGTAATAGTGATTGTAACTTAAATAATATATTAGATGTATTTAATGGTTGCCATCCGGCGATAAAATTCACACTCGAAATGGAGAACGAGTCTAGCATGCATTTCCTCGATGTGAACTTATCAAGAAGGACCGATGGAACCCTGAAAAGATCGATTTATCGCAAGCTGTCATGGAATGGTCAACTGACAAATTTCTACAGCTGGGTACCCATTGGTCGAAAACGAAACCTGATCCGGTCGCTTACCACTCGTATTCGGCGCATATGTAGCCCTGATACTGTGGAAGATGAGTTATACATCTTGAGGAAAATCCTAATAGAAAATGGATTTCCACCACGTTTTATAGATAAGAATATTCATTCAAATCCTAAAAAACGTGAGTTATCAACCGTACCCAAGAAGATACTTTACATGAGCTTGGAATTCAAAGGGGACTTAGCTTCCGATATCATGAAACGGAGGATATCACAATCCCTGAAAAGAACATTCCCTGCTGCATCCCTGAGAATAGCCTTTTCTAGTCGACCATTATTGTTCAATAACCTGAAGGACAAGATCCCGCTGTTGACCAACTCTATGTGTGTTTATCAATTCACCTGCTCGTGTGGAGCTAGGTATATCGGTCGTTCGACACGAGTTTTGTCCAAGAGGGTGCAAGAACACTATCCTGCATGGTTACGAAAAGGTGGTAGTGGAGCAATAAGAAGCGCGATCATTGAACATCTGGTCGATAATGATCACCCTATCTCTATAGCCTCCGCCTTCAAAGTCATCTACAAGGCAAAGAGTAATCTACCCAAATCCCTACGTATCCGACTCATCTGTATTGCTGAAGCTTTGGCTATGGAAACAGAAAAGCCAGATCTCTGTGTACAGAAAAAGTTCGTTCAACCCCTCCAACTTTCATGGTCTTAATCCCTCTATGCTAAAGTATGGTAATCCCCAATTATATTTTAGCTCTACCAACTCTCCATTTTTTCCATTTTTGTCTATTCAATTTGTATACTCTTCCTTATTAAGTCAATTGTTACTATTACTACTCTCACTTTTAATTGTCCCCGGTATTATTTCACTTGTTCCACTTGTCATTCTAAATCAATTCCTTTATGCAACATTCAATTCTATGCTATTAAATTTCACACAATATTACGTAACGTTTTTATTTTTTCGATTTGTCTACTAATCTTATAATTGCACATCTTTTTTCAAGTTCTATCCATCCTATGGATTATTCTATATATGACATTAATTTGCTTTGCCACTTGACATTTAACTACGATTGTAATCACAAACATTTTAGTTTTAATTGCACTTCATATTATTATTATTATTATTTTCATGCATTCACGCCTATGTTTCAATTCCCTCACCGGATATAACTTCTTAAAAACCATATATATACGATTGTACAGCTTGATGATAAATTCGTTGAAAAGAGTCTCTTCGCTGAATCATTTGTTTTGATTTTCTTTATGTTACAATGGGAATTTTCCATGATTTAAAAAAATCACATCTACATTTGTGGCAAAACATGTTTTACTGAAATAAGTGTAGGACTTTGGCGCTATGGTAGAATGTATTTTCATATAAGCTTATTTGTTATAACGCATTGATACAGTATCAATAACGGGATGACGCTTCATGCACAGTTTATTGCTCATAATCATATAGGTGTTTTACACACCATTGTAATTGGTTGTTATTGTTGCTTCCTAACTGTTTTTATGTTCATGTATATGACAAAGGGCTCCACTGGATAGAATGGTATTCGAACTCATGAAAGTGGAAAGTTAGCTTTCTTGTCGCCAAAAGCTGAAGGTTTCCTTATAAACCCCCCGCCGCACCTGTTTCAATCTGAGCAACTGGGTAGTACCACAAGCCTTCACTACTTGGAAATAACCTGTACTGATTAATCTTATCTCATCGAAACAGTTTATTCATTTATTTATTACATGAATGTGTTTATTATTTTTATTGGTTACTCCACTAATTTGAAGGCATTCCTCACAGAACAGAAATGTCACGATATCGAATTGATATAAAATAGTTGGTGCTCGCTTCTAAGCTTTTTGTGTTGTTGTACACTAAGAGGTGTATGCCGTGATCCGAAATTTTCTTCATTGCGTATAATATTTTGATGTCGTCTCAGGAAACAAACGAATCTGTGAAATTTTTTTGATCATCGCTTCACTTTTCCACAGTAATTTTTTGTGTAGGATTCAGTTATTTAATGATATGTACGCTAAGCTTTTAGGAATACCTTGAAATTTCTACAGTTCACTTGTTAGTTTATTACTTGAATTCTTAAAAAAATGGAAAACACTTCTACAGAAAGAAGTTCATATATGTCACTTTGTTAAAGAATGATAAACATCCTGAGATTACATTGCAATATAAAATTACCTGGTAAAGAAAGAGTGTGAAAATGTTGAATCTGAATGTTCCGTGTACTCCACCCGGGCAGTATATCGTTTCCTACGAGACTGAAATCAACACTCGAAAACTTAGAGGATTAGTGGTATGGTTTCATCTGACCACTCCTAATCCCCCCCCCCCCCAACGTAATCCTATTTCACCTAACAGTTGTCTTCGAGAACGGTATTGATTAGGCGTGGATAACACACGTCGTAGTCATCTTAGTCTGCAACTGCACAGTCTCAACACTGACTTTCTCTCCGTACTTAACACTACGCCTAACCGTATTATTGCTGGCAATATTGCACCAACTAACGTGGAAAATCGAACAAATGCATTTAATGTCAAAACTGTTAATCGTTTC